ACAGATCACTAGATTAGCTGGACATTATTTGCCCCTGGTGAAGCCGTGTTGGCTGTTTTTAATCACCTTTATATAATCATCTTCCATATGCTTTGACATGACTTCCAGGAAGACCTGCTCCATGACCTCATTGGGCACAAAGGTGAGGCTGACTGGTCAGCAGTTCCCAGCGTCTGGGTGTGATACTCCCTCTCCTCCAGTCACTGAGGTAGTTACTGGTAATACTGGTATTCACACTGTGAATGGTAGTCACAGCTTGACTATCATGACTTTTCAAATATGGTGGAGGATGGTTTAGCAGCTATATCTGCAAATTCCCTCAGAACCCTGCGATGTTTCTTAGACCAAAAGTAACATCATATATATTCCAAATCATCCTTGCATTTCAAATCTTTATGTTTGATACTCATTTCTTTTCCATTTTCTTGCTGCTGTTGGTAAAGAGCCTTTAATGGGATTTTGATAAGAAAATTTAAAAAGAACAAAAAACCCAACACTATTCCACAAGTTATTTTATAGGTTTAATATTTGTTTTATTTTCATAACCATTTTGATGGAGAAGGAAAAAAAATGTAGGATCAGAGGTTGGAAAGATCCAGAGGACATATGGTATAATGGTTCTACAACAGTAAGACAGCCTGTAAATCTTTGTGCCCTGAGACTATATTCTTTTCCTGCCTGTAGGTGGATGAATAATCAACACAGTGCTGGCAAAGCATATCTCACACTCCCCTCTAGTGCCCATGGAGCACCACCACCTGCCAACAGCCCAAGGGCCAAAGGCCTCTTGGCGGTCTGGACAGCTCTGTTGCTAACGCAGCTGTTCCCAGTGTGATCCCACATAATTAAAGCTGAGGTTCTTAGTTTTATTGTAAAGTAGGATTAATATTAAGTTAAAAGCCCTCATTTTAGACAGGAAAGAATTTTTGAAGGACAAGTATATTATTTTCCCCTTGTGCACATGCACTGTATTACATCACATATTTAATTATGAAATCATATGTGATCAGTGTTACTGATATGTGCATTGCAACATACATGCACCAAGGTTAACAAATTTGTCCATGTGTCCTTGAATTCTAAACATCCTTTTACTAGGTCCTTTCCTGCAGTGGCCATGCAGCCTGCGTGAACTTGGAATTCCAATCTTAAAGTGTTCTTCTGTAGACATAATTTCTGTCTGGACATGTACTACCTTAACACAGAGCCTGAGAGAAAAAACTCCATAGCTGCTGAAACAACAGCCTACTGAGACACAACACTTGGAACATATTTTCTGAGGCACCATTTATCATTGTCATCACAGTGCCCAAAAACTTATTACAATAAATTGCACTTGCATATCACAGAACAGTTATTCTCAACCTTAAAATAACAATACCAACTCATAATTGTATTAAGAGTCGCAATAATCTTAAAATAATTCTAAAAATAAAACCTATACATGCTAATGAGGAAACATAATCAGCATAAAAACTATCACCTGCCAGCTTTATAACTACAGTCATTATAGATAATTAAATGGCTGCAGCAAGGGAATACTTTGCTTTCTACAAGTATTTGGGAGTCTTCAAAGCACTCTCAGGTGAAGAGAAACAGCAAGGAAGAGACTAACTTTGTAAGTCCTACAATCTGAGAAACACTCTTCCATCAATTTGTAGAAAGAGGGATGCCACACTCTCTCTCTCTGTAATTGCAGCCCTTCCTTTTCTTTATGTCTATCACCTGATATTTTATAATTCAGGACTTTCATGGGCAGGTAGAAACTCCAGTTTATTACTAGTACCTCAAAATTAGTAAAATATACTGAGCTGCTGCAAGCATAGCTAATGTGAAGAAGGCAAAAGGAAAAGTATTCAGTGTGGCTGTGAATTGTCATTTAGTTCAATGTCTAAATAAAATAACATGTCGACTGGGTTTTAAGCAGCTTCCAGAACAGATCTGAACCTGAAAACATAAGGTACCAGAAATACTGAAATACCACAACACACAACTAAAGCAGCACAGAAAGTAGTTTCTCTCATTCAGGAGACGACAAAGAGACAAGAAGACACGCAATAACTTAAGAGCACATGAAGTTTGGTATTAAACCTGTTTCCCTGGGTGATAAGATGTAAATGTAGCTTGGCTGTCTCCCTGACATCATTCACAGCTGATAAAACCTGGGAGAAAGAGGATAGTTGGAAAAAATGTTGAGAAAGGCTGGAAGACTTCAATAGTGGTGAAGAAGCCAAGTGAATCTATTTACTTAACTTACTGTTCCTGCAGTGGGGTAGAAAGTGAAACATTTAAGTCTTATCATTACCAACTTTTAAAATTCTGTATCTTACTTTGTGATAACTAAAACAAAAGGATGGGAGGATGAGCTGTGTAGGAAAAAAAACAAAAAAAACCAACCAAACCTCTACCAATAAGCCAAACCAAGAACAAGTAATGGCATAAAACTGTAGCTTTTGCTTGTTCCAAGTTAAAGTCAATGTATCCTGTCCCACACTTATGTTTTTAAAAAACTTTCATGTTGAGAAGCTATAATGGCAAATTATCAGCCTGTATAATGTCAATGTAAGGAGTGGCTAGTAGGTTTTCACAAAAACCTCCTTATATACTGGTAGTGATAATCCTGCTCTTTTCACCACTTTTAAAATTATTATTTTAAATGTCCATTTCATGGTTAAACACAATTGATTTGGAACTGTCCTATAAGTGACAATTCTTATACGTTGGCCTAATTACTGACCTGATTCTGTAGATGGAAGAGTTTAATGTCAGAAGAAACTATGAAATGCAGACTGGATTTAAAAAAGAAAACAGGGTAATTGCAGTATGAGTTACTTCTTCAGGAACACTTGTGTATCCAATGACAGCTTTGCTATCACAGTCCTCCGTTTTGCTAATTTACGTCATCCCTCTTTTTACTAGCATAGCTATTGGAGCAGTACTTTTCCAGTGAGGTTAGTTCCCTTATCTTGTTGCCCGTAACAAATAAAAACACAAACCAACAGAGTGCCGGTTTATGCGGTGCTTTATTCGGGGCCCCGGGAACCTGAGGACTAGCGTCCCAAGTCAGGATTCCGAAGACCTCCATTCTCAGTTCAGCTTTTATACACAAACAAGTTTACGTGCAGTTTCCACAGCAAAACAGTTACATTCAGTTACAAACAAGCTCATAGCAGTTTCTACAACAAAACAGTTACATTCAGTTACAAACAAGCTCATACTTCATACTGATAACAATTAATAATCATCTACTCTAATCATCAATCTGCTTAAGCTGTCTTACCCCTAGAAACTGATTAACAGACCCTTACCACATCCAAGGTAACAAATCATTATATACATGCTTGACTAACTCCTTTGATTGTTGTTGCCATCTCTTCAGCACATTCCATGCTCACAAACAAAGTTGCTAACTTACTACTTTAAAGTGTTGCTTTCTAGGCCTACTCTCCTACTAAGCCTAAGCCATTCTACTACTAAATTTGAATTATTCTGCAACAATCTAGCTTACCATGAGGCTGCATAAAAATTCACAGCACTACTAACACCAACCAGACCTTTCGCTACTCTTGAGGATTTTGCTTGTTCAGGTTTGCTGGCAGCTGCCCCGACAGTCCCCAGGGAGCGGCAGATGGAAGCGGTTCCGCCCGGCACCCGGCCGGGACAGCGCCTCGCACCCCGGGCTCAACACCGACGGCCACCACCTGGCTGGGGAACCACCGGCACTGGGGGTTCCC